TATTTCATCAAACTTCTTAGAAGTAAGTGGATATTTATTGCATGTTAGGAGAATTAAGGACCAAACAGAAGGGTTATTATTATTCCATTCTGAAATTGAATATTCAAGATTACTTTGTTTAAAAAATTTAACAGAGAGATACTATGAGTAAGATGATAAAAAATTGAACATTTGAAGAAACCTATTTTCTGAAGAATACAACACAAAAATATCTATTTTTTATGCAAATACATCATTCACTTCTGAATAAAATGTTTTGTTAAATGATTCAAGGCAATCTCACTCATTTACTAAACTCTTTCTAGTAAAAATATGGAATCTTGGCATTTCAGGTTGGAATGCTGGACACTTTCTGAATGGCATTGTAGTTGGGAGTGGCTGCAAAGTTCATTATCCCCACACTATTTCATTCCTACCTGGTTCACATTTGACTAAGGGCTGAGTTTTTCACATTTTCTTCACATCATTAAACACCTAAATAGGGGCTAGTTTTCCATTGAAAGTCCCCCTGGGAGTCATCCCACTTTGCAAATTGCTCACATTTTGAATTGTCTTATCCCATTTTTCCACTCCACTCCTTTCATTATTATGAAATTACATCTTTGAATGACATTACTTACACTTTTTCAGGCTCAAACTCATTTACTAGACAAACCTTTGGTCAATATCATTAATATTTCAATAAATTCAAATTATTTTTGTATATTTTAAACTTGAGTTAGATATTCAACACTAACATGAAATTTACACTAAGAATAATGTGATTCTTAACATGATTAATTATAGTATAGTTTAATTTATGATTTAATATAATTTTTAAGTGTAAAATTGAGAATAATAAACTATAAATATATATATATATATATATTTGATTTTAATAATAATTTTGTTTTTGAGTTTTATTTTTATAAAGAGTAAAGAATATACTTTAAAATTCCAGAAAAGGTATACCCCAAGATACTTTAAAATTTTGTTTGTAAGTCCCAGGTAATAAATTTTGAATGTGTTTTGGATATATTATATTTTTTTCGTAATAATTAAGTTTCTGTATGCAGTAGTATCCATTTATGTACAGTCTTAATCTCTTATAAGAGTTGTTATTACTACTCATTTTTATGTATACAGTATATTTGGGGGTTCCGAAGTAACATTTTTCAAATATCTGTATCGTCTTACTTCAAAATACGTCTTTCTAAATTAAAATTTTATTTCTATTTTGTAGCTCATTTTGTAAATTTTTATACAAAGTAGTTAAGAGTGCTTTTTTTCACACAATATTTAAATTTGTATCTCCATGGACTCTGAATTTCAATTTTAACTGGCAATCACTTTTGCAATTTACAGATTAAAGAATTAATATTTGAAAGTCACATTAAACATTTTAAATCTTGGTTTCCTTTATTGATATAACTCTGACAGTCACCAGTTAAAGCAGTATTTAGACAGGCATTTCTTACATTATGTTACCCCTTCTGTTACATTATGTACAAGTGTTTACACAAGCTCGTGAATTTTTATTGTCAGCCAATCAATATCAAAATTTTTATAATAATTTTCCCTAAGATTGTATAAAATTGGATTTTTTTTTTAATGATTAAGGAAACCAGCTGAAAAGTTAACAAATAAAATATGCAGAAGCCTAGCATATTTACAAAGCTTTGCTGAAAGAACACGCAATTAATTTCAAGGACATTAACATAATACTGAGAGCATAGAAAGTGTTGCTGCATAGCAGTTTTAATTATTATTATTATTTGTGTATATTTATTTATCTATGTATTTTATTTTGTGTATGTATTTATTTATTGATTTATTATCAATACGAGATTTCAAAATCAAAATTTGTTCCATCAAATGCATTATATAAATCAAACGTATTCTAGAAAAACTGTTAGGTGTTTGTTCTTTTAGAATGTAATTTTTTTTTCTGAAGACGATCATTGAAGATGTGTGAAAACATTTAAATTGAGAAATTTTTACCCGCATTGAATGATTTTAGAGTTGTTATTCGTCCTTGCAGACTTCTATATGAAAAAGAGAAAAATATTTCTGTTCAAATTTTGAGAAATTTGACCCATAAACATTAAATTCAAACTTGTAACTTCAAATTTATTTGTAATTTACCGAACGATAATATAATTAAGTAAAATATTTTTAAATTTAAAATACTGTGCGACATTGTAAACATAAAGAAAACATTGCTGAATCAAGTTAGATATTACATATCGAGTTAATGGCTTTTTACATTATGAAGTATAAAATAAAATTGCTAATTTAAATAATGGAGAGAATTATTTTACACATACATACATATTCTGCCCTAAATACCAAAGATATATAAAAGTTAATGAGGTTAATGGGTGTCTAAATAGCACTGTCATTAGCATATTCTCAGATTATCATTATGATATTAAAAGTATTTTTGCATTTCAATCACATATTTTACAAGTTTTGGTAATGACAAAAATCTCAGATAGGTTCGGAGTGGGGAGAGATTAGGACTTGGAAGTCTCAAAAATTGTAGTTTAAAAAAATGAGTTTCTTCCCACGAGTGCTAATAAACCTGTATTTTATTTGAATTTTGGAGAGTAGTAGAGTTCATTCATGCTTTTCTGAGGTCCTATTCTGAAATATTATTTTATCTGATAAGAAAATTTGATGTTATTTCCTGTAATTAGTTACTGTTTTAAGTTGCACAGCAGCGTTGTTATATTTACGTTGTAATCAGCTGTAAGAGTTGTAAACATTTTAGTTTGTGTGTGGGGCAGGAAAGTTTGAACTCTGCAGCTAGTATCTTTCTGACAGTTAAAATATAAAAATCAGTTCATAAATATTCTCATTACAAGAAAAGATTTAAACTTATTTCTCTTAAAAAGTGATGATAATATTTTGAATTCAACTTATTAAGATATGATTAATGACAATAATTATAGTTGTTCCATGACTCATATATGCTTATTATAATTTTTTATATTAAAAGAATATAGCACTATATAACCTACATATATGTTTAATTATGCATTTCAATGAGATAAAAAGGATTGTAAATCTAGATAAAAGAAACTAATCTTAAGTTTATGACCTTATGATATGATACCTGATCCAAAGGAGAGATTGAATCTATAATTCATCATTGGGTCAAGGACAACAACATTTTAGAGTATTTCTCTCTTGGCTAAGATCAAGGACATCAAAACATTTTAATTTGTTTTAAAATAAAACACGCCTTTTTAATTCCTTGTTTTATTTTACAGTAAATATATTACAAATTTTTAATTTATCTAAGACTAATTTGTTCATTTTTGCATGATTATGAATGAAATAAATGAACTTTTGATTGATTTTTTATTTTCATTTGCATAAGATCTGGCTCTAATTTTTGATTTTATCAAAGTTAACAGATGTTGGCAATTTTAAGCGTAGTCAAAGTAGGCTTTTGCCAAGGGCATTGGACATGTACTTGGAAACTTCTACTTGCTTGGAACTTAGACCTGTGTGATATCAAGTATCCTGCGATGGAAGTTAGCTTGTATAAACTTGCAATACTATGAATGCTTACGACTATACAAACCCAAAACTGCCACTGAAGATAAATATACATCCAATTTCTATCTATTTATGTAACTGTAACATATGAAGATATGTTTGTATTTAATTTCTGAGATTAGTATTCATATTCACATAAGCTATGTTTTATATCGAGATGAAATATTGATTATTGTAAATTTTGCTAGTGATTTAAAGTAAAATATGTTTTACTAAGGAGTATAACTCTGAAAATAACTCTAATATATTTTCAACTTGTGGATATATTGTATAGAGGAAAGTTTTTCATATTTAGCATCTAAAATTTAGAATTATGAATGAGTTAGAATCTTCCAAACATAAGCAAAGGGTTTACTTCATAATACAATTCCTTATAAGTCATATATGAGAATCATTGAGCACATGCACAGATGCAGTTTTTCTCATGTAAATTGCATAGTAACATGTAGTGTGTGTGTACTTATTTCTTTGTTTTCAATGAAAATATCATTATGAGAATACCAATTTGCATTTGTTGTTTGCTTCTTCCAGAAAACTCAGGAATTATCAATTTGTTTCAAAAGACCATATGCAAATAACTGTCTTGCTTTGAGCATGTAACAACAGGAAATTTATTATTCAATGAAATAGTTTGGGTGAATGCAAATTTCTATTTGCAAGTCTCAAATCATTTTGTTGTTTCATTATTTTAATGATAGAAAAGCTCTTAAGGAACAACTGTATACAGAAACTTGACTCTATATCAAATTGTGTATATATGATATGATTGAAAATTAAACAAATCAAGTAGAAATTGCTTTTCGTGCTATTTTGGGGTACCAAATTATGATTTGAAAATATTCACCATTTATGATATAATCATAATTATCTTTATATCTTTATTTTATACTGAATATTGCAATATTTACACAAACATGCAGCAAGGGGTAGTACAAATAACGTGTAAGTAAATCTTTGATTTCGGCATCTATAAGAAAATAATGCTGTTTCAATACGCACAAAGATCAATTTGTTTCCCTTTTTTTTTCTGTATTTTTATTATTATTTTAATTAATTTTAAATTAATTTATTGAGTTGATACGATCAACTATCTGGGACTTATCTGCATTTGATGTCTCTGTATGTTTATATTATTAAATTTTACTAATTTTCTTTTATTATCCTATTATTATTATTATTAGTCTTTTTATCTGTATTGTATTCTTATATTTAAATGATTTTTTTTCCTCAAAAGCGTACATTTTATACAAATAATTAAAAATTTTAAATGCATGCGACAATGCAGACAAAAATTCTTTATTTTGCTTGTGTTAAGTATTGTGGTTACCTTTTTCTGGGTAATGCAGTTTTTTATATAATTAAAATCCCTTTTTTCTCTTTCTTTGAATGTATTTTTGTTAGTGCCATCTCAACAGATTGCTTTAACGAATATTGTTTTTTTGTTTCACTTGCAGGGAATACTCCAAAAAAGTGCCGAGCGAGGTTTGGCTTGGAGCATCAGAACAACTGGTGCAAACCATGCAGGTATGATTATTGAATTTTTAATGTTACTTATTAAGAATAATATCATATAATTGAGGGTTAATAATAATAAGTGCAGAACCCATATGGTTAGGATTTGAAAGTTGAAATTTGGTACATAGTTAGGTATGTCACAAGAATGTACACTAAGAAGGGATTTTTGGAAATTCCCCCTTGTGGGGGAGATGGAGAGGGTTAAGGATTACCCTGAAGAACTCTGCATCTACTGTATTATTTTATATGCAGATATGTTAAGAGGAATACAATGTTAAATGTCTGTAGACAAACTTATTTGGTATTATGTATTAAGAGGGTTATGGATGGGCCATAATGGAACTACATGATTTGGGATGACTGATGTATCCATTCGTGTAAATATGAGGACCCAACTTAAATTCAAATCTGTGATCATCAGAATGGTAGTGTGATGAACACAGATTTGAGTTTATTATTCTCAACTGAGACAGCTGCTATATATTTAGATTGATGTAAAGAGTAATAAATTTACATAAATAATTATATATTTTAACATGATCAATCTTAACATTCCTGACTTAAATAAACAAACTTGTCTCTTTGTCTGAGCTACATAGCAAAATGTATAAAGATAAATATAGTCACATATAAAGTATATATTTAGTGCATTTTGCCTGAATATACACTGTAAAGTCACAATATTTTAGAATGCTACGCAAGTCAGAAATTCAAGATAATTGGTGGAACATAGCCTAAGTAAGTCAGAATAAATGTGATTTTCAGGAATTACTATGAATATTTCATAACAGATTGTTACAAAATAACATAATAATGGAACATTGAATTTGATGTTAATATTCCATTATTATGTTTTCAATTTGAAGATGTTATAGCAAATTAAACTGAAAGTATTCATTAAAAATATATATATTTTTTAATTTTTGTTTTTCATTTATACATTGTCTTTGTTGTCTTCTAATAAAATTAAAAGACTACAAAACAAAGACTGAATTTTTTTAAATATGGTAAACGATGTAAAATTATAAATCTGTATTGAATAAAAGCATAGAATAAATTTTATAGATCTTTTGAAGTTTATTGAAACTTGTATACATTGTTTTTATGCAAACAATTTTATTCTACATTCAAAGTTTATTTTTTATTTTCTCTTTTAAAAATATTCAGAATAAAAATTTAAAATTACAAAAATTATGCCATTTTGATGTCTTCAATGTGTCCATTTCAATTGTGAGAAGAATTTGACACTAGCAGAGTCATTGAGAATAAAACTTAAATAAACTCCACCCAAATATAGTTTTTGCTGTAAAATATTCAGTTATCTTAATTATTTGAAGTGTCTTGTGTTTTCTAAGGTCTTATTTGCATTTATAACATATCAAATTGAATTCTTTAACCAATAACACAATTTTTTGCTCCTTATTAAAACCAAAGTATTTTGATGCAGATAATTCTTATCAAAATGCTTTAATTTTCATATCAAAAATGTAGTTATATTCTTTAAATAAATTAACTAATATAAAGGCAGATTCAGAAGCTTTGTGGACATTATATGATCGAACCTATGAAATACATTATAAAATTGAAGATATGAGTGAATGAATGTTTTACATTACAGTTATTCAAAATCCAATTGAAATGAAAAAACAAATCCAAAAATGTGAGCAAAATTATTTTGATATTATGCAGTGAAGCATCTTTGGTTGTTTATCTGAATTAGTTATGTGCCGGATCATTAAAAATGTATATCCGCGGATACGTATCATTAGTGTCTAGATCTGTGGATACAGATACAGATCTCAACTTTCGTACTCAGTCGGCGCCGGTGCTTGTGACCGATAGTTGACATTTTGCATTAGTAACGTGACGTGTTTTGACTGCACTGCGCGTGTTTTTGTTTATAGTTTAGTGTGACACGGGATAGAATAGATTACGTTTGTATCTTTGGAGAGTGTTGAATTAAATTAAAATAAAAACAATGTCGACAAAAAAGTTTAGTAGTGTAATATGGAACTATTTTATGATAGTAAATGAATTTTACATGATAAAATTTTTGCAATATGAATGTGCCAAATATATGTAATTTTAAGAAATAAAAAGTGATTTGAATTGAAGTTATTAGTATTTTATTGCTACCTATCTTTAAAATTTCCTATAAGTAATGAAATTCATTAAGATAAAAGATTTGTTAAAGATCCGCTAAAAAGTAACAGATACGGATACAAATACGGATCTTTTTTTCCCCTCGGATATCCGCGAATACGGATACATATACGGATATCCGGCACATCACTAATCTGAATCAGAACATTCCAGATGCTTCACTGCATATCATCAAAATTTTGCTTACATTTTCGGGTTTGTTTTTTTTTTTTTTTTTTTTTGTTTTATCTTACATTAATGTATCTAACATAAGCAGATTATTATTTATTTTTGTTTGGCCTATAACTTTCTAATTTATATTTTTGATGTTGGATACATGGTTTTAAAGATATTGTTTGAATAACTTTGAAAATTCCCTTTGAGATCAACTTTATGGTCACTGTCAGATTTTCCATGCATCCCAACATATACTCTCATTCTCTATATTGAATACATCATACTGTCGTTGTTAATTTGGCCTGCCATCATCTGTAGAGAGATATATATATCAAGAATTTTGGACAAACACCCCATCTATCTTAAAGTACATTGACAAAAGCTTTCAAAAATTTTATTTTAGCATCAGTGATTCACTCCATGAATCTGAACTTCAATGAACAGTCAAATTTTGCTTAATAGTTATAATTAGATTTAAATGTTATTATTTTTAAGATATATTTACAAGTAATGAGTTTCATTAGCCATTAATGTCCTCCTAAGAAATTTTGGATAATAAGGTCCATCATTGGAGAACTAAAACTTTATTTAAAAAAAAAATACCTTCAGGTTTTCAAGTTTATACTGAGAGATTAGTGTGACAACTTTGTATTGCTCTATGTATATGAGATGTCTAAGTATCAGTGGTGGATTATTTAGAGTGTTGAGTAACAATTACTACTTTGTATGACAAATTTTATATAAATTATTACATATGGTTAAATTAATTTTTTTGTAATCAAAACCAGCACTGATTCAAACAATATATGAAACAGAAATGCTTCTATTAGAGTGGTTGCTTGCTGCTTACCCTCCTTCAACATCACTGCTAAACAGTACAGTGTTGTTTCAAGTATCTCAAGCATTGTATCATAAGATGCAGTGGTTAAATGAATAGGACCATTTTTAGTGGAAGAGTGCACTTTACTGTTTAACCACTGCTGTTTCAGACCACTTTAGGAGGGCATACACCACACAATTACCATAATAGAATTATCACCAAAGGATCGCCTAAATAATCAGGCTATAACTCTTCTAATTTTAATAATTAATACTGAGTAATTTGCTACTAGAGGTAGATGTTAGGCACCATCTCTTAACTAAGTTAATAATAATACTTATTAATATAGTTAAGAGTTAGCCTGATTATTTAGGCGATCATTTGGTGATGTTTCTATATATATATATATCGGGCTTTGCGATGTTTGTTACACTCATAAGAGAATTGTTTTTATTTTTTATATTGTTTACATCAGCACTGGTTTTGATTAAAAATTAATTTTAACTGTATATAATAATTCATATAATTACTATGTAATAAAATCATTATTTTGTGATTGTATTTTTGAGTGTTTCTGTTGTACAATGAATTCATTAATAAGCATTATTGATTAGGGTAGTTCATCTATCAAAATGTAACTTTGATGTCCTAAGACAACTTCAGAATGGACAAAATTCATATAGAGAAGAAAGGCAAATGCTGGCTTTGTCTTGATTTTCGTTACAGGCATGACTCATTAATGGAGTGAATAAAGTTCTGGACCACTGTCATAAAGTGAATATCACACTTAAAGTGTATTGGAGACTTTTCTTTCACTTTCCAGTGCATATAAAAGTCTAAACATATATTTGCTTTAACATTTCCTAAATATAGTAAGTGTCAAAATCCTCCCAAAGAATGCACAAGACTATTTTAAAGAGCTGGGAAATGTTGCAAAGCACATTTAGTACAAAAAACCTTATATTTATTTGCATACTTATATGTTTACATATATAATTATCTGAAAATGTAATTATTTTATTACTAATAGTAACATACAAAAAACATATGCATTAGGAGGATTTTGATGCAGACAGAAATCTATATCATATTTGTAGAAAAAGTACCACTTTAATAATTAATATAGCCTCCTTTTGCCTTCAAAACCTTCCTAATGTGATCAGGCATAGAATTAATAATAATCCTGCAATCATGCAATATTACTTTGTTCCACTCATCCTTGGTGGATGAGTGGAACAAAGTAATTGGTGGATGCTTTCAGGTGTAGCTACATAGTCAGACAAGTGATGTTTAAGAAGGGACCAGATGTGTCCAATCAGGTTGAGATCAGACGATTGAGGTGGCCACTCGAGCAAGCTAAAAGTTTGGTTTCTGAAGCCATGACATTGCCCTTCTGGATGTATGTTTCAGATCATTATAATACTGATAAATGAAAGAACTCCTATCAATGTGGTAATAATCAACAGATTATAACAAATAATTGTCAAGAATCTCAGTGTAAATAATGCTATCCATTCTATTGGGTATAGACCACTCCAGGTATACCAGGTATAGACACTCCAGGCTCAAAATAGGTAATACCATAAGACCACCACCACCAAGTTTCAATGTTTTTAGTTCTCGCTCAGTTATAGACTGCATTGATGTAGTACCCATACCCATTTTTGCCCATTGAACCAACTCTATTAATTTTGGATTCATCTGACCATATATTCTGCTTCTCCAATCTTCTAAGGTTCAATCTTTATAGCATTTGGCAAAATTAAGACATTTCTGTTTATGTAATTTGTTAAGCTTTGGCTTCATGGGCTTTTAATTTGTTATGTTTTAGGCATCTGCAGAAAGCTGAAGTACTCATTTCTATTCTAAGCCATATTTCAATTCCCTCTGTACTTGTGATGTATCATAACATCCACTCATTATCAATCGTTTCTCTGTTGGTGCTCGTTTTCTTCCTGCCAGCTCTTAAATTTTTTGATTTGTAACTCACTATTTTTTTTTCTGGATACACTCGAATGTCCAACACCAAATTCTAATGCTGTTTTCTCAGCAGAAAAACTTTTCTTTGGGATGTCCACATTATGGCAAAAGCTTCTTTGTGATGATACATATCGAGCAGCAGCTCAATTGCATATTTATACACCAATATCTCATTAATATGCACAAAACTACATTGTTTAAGATTGGTGTTATAACAAATTTGTGTGTCAGAATCCTCCCAATGCAGCAAGCAGAATTTATACACCATAGATATTTTAAAAATATGAAAATTATTTTAATTTTTTTTGCTATTATGTGAATATTCTAATAATCTTACAATTGTTTTGAAATATGTTTGTAAAAGTAAATTAAGCAAATAAAAGCATCATCAAGTGAAATTTTTGGGTGTTAGATGTACTGTTTCGAAATTCTCAAACTCACCTGAAAGTTTACAGAGAAAAGAAAGATAGAATTTCAACACCCGTTATGTACATTTAAATTATTTAGTTTGCTTTAATCATTGTTCAAATACGAGGTTTTATTTTGTCATGTAATTAGCAGTATATACATAGTGATCGTAAAGTCCTTATGCATGCTAGCTATAAGTTATCTATATACATTTCTCCAATCTATGCACATACCTTAGTCAATCTCTGTGCATGACATTTGTTCTGGATCTCCCACTTGGAGATTGTCTCAATGACAAAGTCATATACATTGATTCAGTTGCAGGATTGATATACCAGTGAAACCTCTCATTCCGAACTTAATTTGTTCTTAAAATCAAAACAAATGTTCCCATAAGAAACAATATAAAATGGATTAATCTGTTTCTGATACCCAAAACAAAACCTAAAACATGATTTCTATTTTAGTCTTGTGATACTTTACAGTTTGTGATCCTGCTATATGTTGGGTTTGATTATTTTGGATGAAGATATGGTTAAGGTCAATGGTTCTCAACCCAGAATATATTATGAGCTGATGAATTGATAAAAGATCAGATAGATTTACTAGTTTAGTAAATAAAATCAAAATTAGAATTACTTAAATAATAGAAAGTATACAATCATTCAAAATTGTTTAAGTGTGGTTTTGTAAGAAACACCAATGCAACGCGAGTGATCTTCAAGGGAATGCCTCCTGGGTGGATGTTTTATGGAAAACTGTTCCCTATTTAGGTGTTAGACACAGAGTTTCATCATTTAGGTTCATCAGTTTTCTTAGTTTTATTAATGAATTCTTGCAATCACGTCACGACACTTCAAACAATTTGCGCAAAACTTCAGCATTACCCTGCAAACTGGTGGTTGAGAAACATTGGTTTAGAGATGTCCCGAGAAGAGAACTTGTCTAGAATTTTTATTCTTAAGACTTAAAATTTTTGGATGTTGCATTTCTCTTCAAATTTCTGATAGAATTTGATAGCTACATAGAAAGATCTCTTGTAAACAAGATAGAAAACAATGCTGAGTGAGTTAGAGAGGGCATTGATTAACTGAGACTGGAGAATCAAATGTCTCGTTGTCAGATTAAACAATGCTTATAAGACATGTTTCTTGAAAAACATTGCTCACTTGATTTAAATTTTGGTGGTTAAGGTCGAGAGGGTGGGGAAATAGAAAGGGTCATGTGTTGTATCTCCATTGAAGTCAGACATAATGAAAATTGTACTACTTATTGGCATTTATAAAGTATTATAAAACACATCTCTAACCTTATAATTTAGTGTTTTACCTTTTTAAAAATAATTAATGCAAAAGTTATATTTTAAACAACATCTCTCGCATAATTTTAACTTTTTGCCAGTGTCTTAAACATAAAAACCCAGCAACACTCTGCTAGATTTTTTATATTAGCATAACTGAAAATAAGCTGCTCTAAATGAACTCAAACTGGATGAAATCAAGAAAGTAAGCTTAATTATGAGAGCGGAAAGTTTAAAATTTTGAAGATTGCCATAGCAGATGCTGACATTTGAACTCTTTCACGTCATATAAACAATATTTTTCTTAGTTTTTCAACTCATATTTTCGAATTTAGACGTCTTTACATTGTGAGGTTATAATTATAAAAGATTAAAAACTTGAATATTTCTGTAGGAGGAAGAAGAAGTGTATACGTTATGTGAGTGGGAATGAAAATTCCGGCGAGTGCGAAGATAATCTACAAAATTTGGAAGCTCCTACACCCGAATCCAGAACGTCGATAGACAGCGATCAGGACACACTGAACGTCTCCTCGGAGCTATCGCTATCGAGTCCTCCAGTTCCTACCAACTCCGAATCCAGCAATCTTGAACTAATGCTACCGGATGCGGAAGGAGTCAATCCTTCTCACGTGTCCCAGAATCACCCGTTAAGTGTGCATCTTCTGACGCAACCCCACGCGACAGAAAACTGCGATCCCGACTCGGTATCCATTCCTCAACTGCCGACGCCGCCGTCCACGGATTCCTCCACCGCGGCGGCACCACCCCTACTGACTGTGACGTAGCCGGAAGAGGCACGTGATCTCAAAAACACAAGTTACGGGGCCACACCTCCAATTGATGTGTAGATTTTTAAAAAAAAAAAAAGAAATCGACATCATCCTTCATTTGTGTTGTGGTTGGTGTTCATATTTGTAAAATAAGTTTTACTCATTTATGGGTGCTGCATTCGTTCGATGTTTCCGCATGCAGGTTCATGCCTTATTTTTTTTTCTCTCTCTCTCTCTTCTCCTCCTCTTTTTCTATTCGTCATATATATATTTTTTTCTTTTTTAAGAAATAAGCTTTTAATCCTCGTTTTTTACTCTCTCAATTTAGTTTTCGTAAGACATATTCTTTAGTAAAGTGTCTTTTTATCAATGTTCTAGTTGTAAAGTCGGCGGCCACACCTTATTTTCTGCCATTTTAAAGACCTTATATGTGTAAAGAGTACACAAAATAAGCCTCTGTGGTATCTGTGATGTAAAGAGAGTATTTTGTTGATAAGGCTCGAAGGATCGACAGGAAAAATGCCCGGAGAAAAACGATAATTTTTCTATATATATATATATAAATATATACATATATATATGCGTGCAAAGGAAGAGCGCACGAGGGGGAAGAATTTATTCATTTCCGTTTACGCCGAAAATTTACTTTCGTTTTTTACAATTTATATTGTCACTAGTCAACAGTTTCGTGTGTGTAAATTATCGATCAAACCCTCTCCCCCTCACATGTGATAAACTGCCATTTATAATAATAATAATAAATACGTGAAGTTAATTCAAAACTGAAGGAAAAAGAAATATTTTTTTTTTTTTTTTTTTTTGAAAATTGCCAAAATTGAGATCCTCTTCAGAACTTGCCATCGTCGGAAGTGTTTTTAAATCGATTCAGAAATTTTTAATGAGAGAGATTATGAGTGATTGTTGTCACTAGTTTCTCCTTACTTTCTCCTTTCTCTGTTTCTACTGGACGAAATTCTTTGCTAATTTCTGTTAGGATTATTGATTTTAATTATATAAAACGGTCTTTACAGTAAAATTTACATTAAAATTAAAAAAATAATGACGTTTTTATGAACTGAAATTGTCGGGATATCATACAGAAGTGCTCGAGAACGTATAACTGTTTACTTATAAATACTCTATTCGCGATTTTAATGGGGAAAAAATTAATTTTATTAATGTAAAACCATCTAATAACATAATAGATAAAATAATATTACTTTTTCTTTCTGTTAAAGTATAGAAAAATTATAAAAATCGGTGTAAAGGCCGAAAAGTTAAGTGTTTACACACATACACACACGAGTTCCTTGAAACAGATTCGTGATTTTTCAATTTTTTTGGTTCTGTTGCATCATTCTTACTGTTCGAAATGGAATTTTCTTAAGAAATAGGAAAACAAGTCAAAAGAAACAAATTTGATAGAATACAGTCGACCCCCTATAACACTGTTGATTATTCCGTTTTATATGAATTCCATGTTGTACGAGTCACTTAGATTTTACAAACACGTGTGCCGGACTGTGAACGGTTCACGTATTTATAAAATTTAAGTGACTCGTACAACACGGAATTCATATAAAATGGAATAATCAACAGTTATAGGGGGGTCGACTGTATTTTACGTTGAAATTTTGTCAGGAGCTATGTAAACGGATGTAAACGTTACCATTTTGAATAGGTCTTAGCCTATTTTAAGCCTTAGATATTCTTTTTATGTCTATTTATTTTTCTTTAAAATAATAAATACATTTGGATTTCGAAAATTCTTCTCCATTAGAATAAATCTATTGGTTTATTTATTTCTCACTTACTCTCGTTTAACATTTTATCATTTATTTGAACGTAGTTTCAAGTATTTATGTAAATTCTTACAACTAATTATGCTTATTCTTACGAAATAGCAAAGATTTAAGTTAAATTTCGAGCAAATGATAACGATATTTACTTAACTTGGGCCTTTGAATCAATCGAATTTGAGATAAGTTTATCATTTCACAGAAGATGATCAGGTTCTTATTTGTTTAGGATCTATTCGTTAAATTTGGAATAATTTTCTCTACATAATGATGAAACACGTAGCAATTGGCTCAATTGGCACCTTACATTTTGTTCAAACATGCATTCAAACGTTTTAAATGCATGTTTGAACAAAATGTACGGTGAAGATTCGATTTTTTTTTCGGCATATTTTTTCCAAATATTATAACATTCATTAAATAAATCACTGTAAGAATAACTCATTTATACTCTTCTTTAATTGCATCTGTCACGTTTTGATTCAAAGTAGTTGGTGCGGAGTCAGGATTTTTGGAACTTGGCAAACTGTTTTGTTCAAAATTATCTTAGTTAATAAACTGAATAGTTTTTTCAATTTACTAATATTTGATCTCGCAAAGTTACAATAAAAATTAGCCGAAAATATATATATTTAGCACTCTGCTCTGTGGGCAATAAGGCCTCTTTTCGGCAGGCCCATTATGGGTTCGGCCGGGTGGAGAGGGATGGGTCCCGACATAACCGGACAGACCAACCCTGGAAAAATTTCTGGGAATTTATCGACCCGACCGGATTCGAACCCGGGTCCCCCACAGGGGTAGGATAGGCTGCCACCTTGACCGCTCGACCATCCGGCCGTCTGAATATATTACTCTAGTTACTTATGCCATTAAACTTTGATTCTCTGAAACACTCGTTTTAGAATTTCTAGTTCCGTTTTTCTTTGTTTCAAACTAGAGAAATTAGTAAAAATTCAATAAATTCAACATACATACTCCAAATTGAACCCTCTTCTGCTTCCAATCCAAAGATGCCAAACATTTGGTTCACTAGTGACATCAAGAGAAACTTTCTGTATCCTTGATAGAACTTGTCTCGTATAATATACCCAAACTTAATGTAAGTTAGCCATGAGATGCTCGTTTCAAACCCACAAATGTTACTTTGTTATAAATACTCCTTTGTACTGGTGCCCAAGTGGTTCCTCTTTGTTAAGTATCAGAACTCTCCATCTTTGTTCCCAAAAAAACAAACGTGTAAGTAAGATACTCTATCAGTTTACTGTAACCAAGATATGGCAGAAGTATTCTTGCTGTATATCCCGTGCCAAATCAATTAATTTCAGCGAATGTGCAATCTACACAAAGCAAAACAATTACCACACCGCAGTGGCGAGATATACCGGGTATGATATCAAACTGAAAGGCCGTCGAGATATTTATTTAGCGAGAAGGTATGCGTAAGTTATTGATGCGACAATTGGGCACGTGATCCGTATCCATACCAAATATTCTATGGTTCCATCTCTCGTTCGCTACTCTATTCATACGCACAATTAATACGATTGCAGACGAATACATAAAGGAAATACACAGTACAATCACCAATGGATGATGGAAACGGTTCTGATTACTGAGTGATAATCGGAATGGAGTAAACAGGAAGAAGAATCGATTGTTTGTTGAGTATATGTATTATAAACACAAAGAAAAAACTTGTGTATATCTGTTTTGTTTGACGTTTGAGCAATGTGTAGCAAACCAAACATTGTAAATGATCCAACCATTAATAAAATGTGTACAGAATTTATTATATAACACCGTATTTTATGTCTTATTATGTATTGTTAAGTTTACCCACCCATTGCATTCATTCAATGTTTGATCTACTTGGTAAGCCATAACTGCAACATCACGGACAGCGTAATGTAGTAAGTAGCACAACACAAACCTGTAGTACATGCAAGCAGGTTTGTTTGTTAAGTTATGACAACGCAACACTTGGGCGATCTGCCTGGGGGGTGTCTTCCGGGGGGGTCTTTTAAGGGAAACTGGCCCCTATTTAGGCGTTACAGACGTGGAGAAAACACGGAAAACTCCACGTGATCAGCCCGTGCGAACCCACGACCGAATTCCCAGTGTTCGGGGTACGAAGACTGCTTGGCCACAGGTGGGCCCTGCAAGCAGGTACCAGGTACTATAGCCTGGATTTATGTGAGTAGCAACGGAAAGGTATTGAGAATATTACGCGGTAGAAACCGATCAGTGAGACCATTTACTGAAAGAGTTCGTGACACATGACACACTCAACACGTGTTGCTACTCTCATAATTCGTCTTGAGACTAAGCGCTCAGGTCGAGAATTAGAATTGACTCTTGAAGCAAACTGCTGAAATGTCCTTTCTGAATAGTTTCGGTTACAGCGTTTTTTGCGTAAGTGCAACAGGTGAAGTACGAAGCGGTCGTGCCGGTCCTATTGATCGAATTCAAACCCAGATCCTTACATAAAATCAAGGGACTTATAAAATATTTATGCCAAATCATTTGCAACACTGCATGAATAGAATTGCCACTCGATAAATTTTCCTTTGGGATCAGTTTTGCAGCATAGTATCTATGCTGCCTCGTGACAATACTGTCAATTAGATACGAACCCGGGCCGTATTCTGGTCACTGTCTCTGGTCTCTCGTAAGCCGGTCGCTGATTGGCTAATCCAAATAATTAGCCAATCAGCGACCGGCTTGTGAGAGACGAGAGACNCATGGAAACTTTCGCAGTTACCTGAAAAAGTTTCTGAATAAAACTGATGGACTCTGCCCATGTCCTCTCAAAGAACAGGGGCCATATTCTGATCACTGTCTCTGGTCTCTCGTCTCTCATAAGCCGGTCGCTGATTGGCTAATCCAAATAATTAGCCAATCAGCGACCGGCTTACGAGAGACCAGAGACAGTGACCAGAATATGGCCCCCGTATTCTCAGCAGCAAGAAAATTAACTTAATGCATGGTCGTTTAGCCAATCTGTTTACACATCAATATATAATAGTTGTACTGTATGTTGATCCAGATTTACAGCACGAACATTAGAAAAATTGCCATCTCTAATCAAACTGAAAAATACTCTTGGAAAGTTGACTACAAAGATGATGCCCGACTACAGACGTTTGCTACAGCCTCACACCAGTTCTTTATCTGATCTATGAGAAGGATCCAGCAGAGAACCAGTTGGTCTGCTGTTCTGCAGATATGCATTCGAATCCAGAACACTATTGTATTGTTCTCCGTCAATCGTACATACTAAATATTCAATATGTCTTTATCTCAGGAAACACACTAAATTCGTGGAGCTTGCAAACAAGGTATAATTCTAAAACCCACTCTCTTGTTTCCCTATGGGCTGAGGTTAACAGTTCGTCTAGGTTGTTTTCGAAACCGTGTTTTGCGAATATATTGGACTTCGAACTCACATTTGAGTTATAAATAAACACTTGACTTTATTTCCATCATTTTAGTTAATACGTGACAACAGCACGTTTCGGGCATAAAGCCCCTCATCAGTCAACTAAAAAAATATATACAATTTTTAAAACATTACATAAAATATCTTACAAAATAGAATTAAAATAACGTATGTTTCTTACCATATTCATTTTTAATCTGTTATACATACAAGGTCTTAACCGTACCTGCGTTACATACTGCATTGCAGTGTTGCACTGATTTGCATATTACAAAGCCAGTTATTATTAATATTAACAATAGAATAACTTTTATAAGTAATTACATCAATATTAATTTGTATTGCGTATATTATATAGGATTTTTACATTATTTTTATCTATGTTACAGTTATTTATTAAACAATGGTAATGAAAAACAGGGTTTAGACGATTATATTTGACATCAGCTATACGATTTGAGTTCGTCTAGGTATCGATAGATGGCAGTGTGTGTAATTTATATAAATAGGTTGGGACTTATGGAGTCGCCATTTTGGGGCTTTTTGAATAATGCAGATTTTAAAAATTAAAAAAAAAATATTTTTTTTAAACTGTTTACTTTTAAAATAATATACAGTTAAGTTTAGAAAGTTATGAAATATTTTAAGCAAACAAACAAACGTTTATATAATGCTTTTACACCCACTGCCATCTATTGACATCCAGACGCACTATTAAGGGAAACAAGCCCTAACAATGCTACAGTTATATTAAATTGCTTTATAATTACTACTAAAGAATGGAACATTATTTTCTGCCGATAATCAACAATTTAATTTATATAATAAATACAGTAAAAATTATTTTAAAAAATAAAAAAGAATACTTTGAAAATTTAGTCAACAGATGGTGCCATCGTAGCGGGAAGATAAGCAAAAGTTTGTTTGGTTTATGTGAAATCTTATAAGATATAAATTATCCTTTTATGTACTTTAAGCGATAATTTTCTCAAGAATTAAAACGAATTAAAAAATTGATAAGATAACAGAAAACGAAAGTGAGCGAAGTTTCGTTTTCCGAAGCAATTCCACTAACGGAAATGTCATTGGAAATTTTAATAAAAAATAACGTGATCTTCGAAATTATTTTTACAATAACGAAATAAAAATTTAATAAAGTAATGATGTGTACTTCTATTATTATTATTAATCATAATACTTCCGGTTTTTAAACCGGGAATTTAAACTTAATTTCCTTCACTTAACTTTAACAAAAGAAAACTTGGAGATCGCATTAATGTAAAACGTATTTGTAAGCTATTTAAATTGTAGATCGCGAGAGACTTTCTGAAATATTTAAAAATTTTGACTTCTCTTTTCAAAATCTTAAAAAGTTCGTATTTGAAATTTGAATTTCGAATAAGCCAATCAAATGTCTTCATCGTTTAAAATAACCAATAATCACGTAGATTGATTTTTAAATATTTAAAATATCCAATAAGAAGCGAATTTTTATCAATTACGCAATTAATAAAGTTTTTGAATTAAAATTTAACAAAAAATTTTTGTTTAAAGGTATCAACGCCACCTATAGTTTAAAGTTGGCATCGTAATAATTTAAAAATGTTTTCTTTTTTTAATTAATTTATATTATTAAATCGTAAGCGAGAAGCGAAAATAAAATTAATTAAAAGAATAAGAACGAAGAATGACGAAATATTTACGAAATCTTTCTTCTTAAACGACGTCACGAGTGACGTTTCGATCACACCTTCCCGTGACGTCAGGCCCAATAGATGCCGAGAACGTGTTTTGGTTAGTCAAACAAAAAGCCGATTCTTTCATTCAATCGGTGACGAAGTGATTTTTCCCCGATTCATTTATAAAAATAGGAGAAATAAAAAGCGAATCTTTACAGTAAAATATAATCAATGGATCGATCTAGTTAAGGTAAGATTTAATTAATTTTAACCAATCGGCGATTATAGTTTGAATATTTAAAAATTCAAAAAGTCGTCCACGTGATCGCGATTTTTCTCCGAATCGAGATGTCATAGAGGAACCGCAGAAGGGTGAAAGAGAGGATTTAAAAGCGATGAAATTTGATGAAAGAATTTCACGAATAATTTAATTTTTTATAAAATTCCCAATACATTTTTTTTCCTCTCTATTTTCTCGTATCGCATGGCTGCTTATGACTCAACAAACAAAGACGTGGTTCGTGTGTGTCTCTTACCTTTACCCTCTTTGTCTGATGAAACATATATTACATAAAAGTCTACGTATATTAAGCTGAAGAAACAATTAATACACATTAATTTAATGATATGAACACCCAGTTTCTGAAGCTTCGATAATTAAGGTACTGTATTATTTTAAATGGCACATCACACGTGTTACGCGTGAAAGGTAGATGAGGTACGTACTGTACCTCATCTACCTCTTACACGAACAAAACAATGAAAGGAGCAATATATTGCGTCACACTAATTATATATGTGACGTCGAAGATTTGTAAAAATTCGAACTGGAACGTGCTTTTCTTGGAAACGATTTAAAGTTAAAGGAAAATGAACTATTTAAGGAGAGTAAATTATAAAAATGAAGCCATAAAATGACTTTTTCAAGGTCTTTCATGCAGCTTTATTTTTTTTTCTATAACTGTGCATTTCGACACTTCTAAAGAAGGGTTATAAAGCTAATAACTAATGTTTGGAGAACAAAAGGTTTGTGTTAACGTTCGAATATATCTAGAAAAGTTGCGTGAGTCTGTCACATTGGTGCATTTATTTTCGACACATGAAAGGGATATATTTATTAAGTCGTACGGGCGTTCAATTTCTGTGTTTAGAAGGTTAATTATATTGAATTTTCTGTGTTGGAATGCATCCTTTTCGCTTAATTTTATAGCTTAAAAATGAAAGTTATACATTTAAATCTTCGCAATTAAATACGTTTAATTGCGAATGAAATTAATTACGATTAATTTTTTTGAATTAAATTAATTAATACGTTTCAATTTTATTGTTTATGAAAGTTATATATTTCACACGTTTATTGTCTAACAATAGAAGTGAAACGTACAATTTTCGGACCTTTAAACTTGTTTATTGTTAAACGTGTAATAGAAAACTTCGGTCAAAAACATTGCTCCCTTTCACCTCATTATATACATAAATACAGAAATAAAAAGATTTCTGTAAAAATGTCCGCTATTTAGAGGTGGTCGCTATTGGAGGTTCGAATAAATTTTTTGTATTTATTTCATCGACTGTACTGTAATAATTTTTATTGTTATAAAACTTCTACATTAGCCTTTTACTGACATTAAACTTGAATATTATTTCTTTTTTTATTGCTATTAAACTCTGTACATTTCATATGTTGTTATTGTTATTAAATTTGTGTATATTTCGCTTTTCAAATAGAAATATACAAATTTAATAACAATAAAAATTTGCATATTCCATTGTTTAAATCTGAAATGTACAATTTTAATAACAATGGATGTGAAATCGACAAATTTTATGACAATAAAACTTGTAAATTTCACTATTATTGTTATTAAATTTGTATATAAAATGTAGAACTTAAAAGAAATGGGGAGAACATGCAAATTAAAGAGAAATTTACAAATAAAATGCAAATTATTATAGGAAATTTATAAAAGAAAAAATTAGATCAAATAAATAATATGCGAGACGAAACGGAAGTGATGCTACCATTTTTCTGATTAGTACAGAAGGAAATATGAACTTCACTACCTTCCTTTTGTCTAACTGAAATAAAGGATATCTTTTCTACTGTATTTGAAACCAATTATACGTAATTCTTTAAGGTGTGTTCAGTCGAGAATCCTATATCACATGATCCTTTCCTGTGTATTTGATATTACGCAAACAGAACCTGAATTCATATACTGTCTACTCGTGTTTCATTCGATTAAGATAAAAATAAATAAATGTTCCTTTTCGAGGACCTTTTTTTTTTAAACCTATACGTTGGTGTAATATTTTCTGTAGAAGTTCTTTTAAGAGGGGTGAAGTGTTTAATCACGTAAAACCGGTTGATCTGTTTAATTGATTGATTTATTTGATCGATATCGATTAGAAAATCGATTGATAAACGTTATATAAATGCCGCTGTCGAGCTTAATACACGTGTTCAATAGATTCAGTTTTAAGCAAATTTATTGAACGTGTAACTTGCTCTTGAATTTTATTATATCCATTCAAATTACTAGATTTCTCCGTGATATTTTCAGTGTTTACTTTACGTAATTAGAATAGGATTTACAGTAGAATTCCGAACGTCACGCACGATATCACTAATCTTAAAATCAGTAAAGAAAACAATGCATGGCACCCTAAAGACGAGTTTTTGAACTTTGTAGCCGATTTATTAGATTATAATTTGGCCTATTTTGTCTAATTTAGTTAATAATGTTTGCTTTATAAATATATTTTTGTCCTTGTTGAACTCCATTTTAAGTTCGGTTTGTGATGATTTATTAACATTTACTATGGTTATTTTAGTTGATGATGGAACGTTATTAAAGCCGAACCTGTTGTTAAAGGATTAAATCCAGTTTTCTTGTTTGAATTGAAAAATTTTATGCGCCTGCCTTCCGCCATTTTTGATATGGTTTCCATGAGTTCGGGTTTCTAATTTTTACAGGAATTTTTACTATTTTATGGGTTATTACTGAGTTTTTCATAAGTAGATGTTTATTTTTACCACGTTTAACATAAAAATTGATAAATTTAAGCACATAAAACCCTTAATGGCAGGCATAGTGAGGCCGACATATATATATATATATGCTTTACATAAACTTCCCACACGAAAAAGTTCGATTTAAATCCACCCATTAAGCATATTTAAACAAACTTTATTAATATTTAACGAAATGTCACTTAAGAAATGCGATAAAATTTTGCAAGACACGGCATTTAATGCCGATTATTCACGAACGGCGTTCAAAGATCATAAACATATTTTTAAAAAAATACGAATTATAAACTAATATTAATATTATTCGTTTAATTTATAACTTTCTAATTATATTTTTAAACTTAAAAACCATCCCATTTTTCCGCGTATTAAAAAAAAAATTAAAATTTTAACCTATTTACGAAAATAAATAAAAATCAAAAATACCGTAAACAAATATAAAAGCGCACCCTAGCCATTTTCCCTGGCATCACACCACCGGGCTGTGACGTCACAACTGGCGAGTCACGTGTTGGCGTTACTGCAGTGGACTGGATATCGTTCTTTTAACGGACGTTTGAAGAACAGGTAAGATGTCATTTTTAAATGTTCAAACGTTTTACTCGAAGCTTATTAAATACTTAAACGTTTAAGTAAATGTTGGGTTAACGTTGTCTTAATCTACGATCCCGATTATCACCTTAAAGAAGACAGCTTCACCTTCATGCGCGCGATTACGACTGGAAAAACACTTTTAAAACAGCTGTCTTGAAACCATTACACGCTTCTTAAGCACTTAATTACATAAATGTATTAATGGAAGCTGTGTCTGTGTTTTATATTTAGAACAGAATGAGTGGATTTACATCCAGACAGGTTTTATTGATTGATTCCTAGCAGTGAATGTTGGGTAAAAAGATCACCTCATCCACTCTTACATATAAGAATTATGAATGAATTCTACTGATTTTATCTCATAAAAATGCTTAAATAAGCTAATTAATTGTATATTTAAACTAATTTTTACTTAAATAAGGGTATATTTAGTATTTTTATCAGTTTAAATTATTAATTTGTCATTTTTTTTCCTTGTTTAAACATGCATTACTGTTACTGTAGATGTGTATGAAAGGTAAATGATGTTGAAGCACTTTTTTAATGAAAATTCTTGGTATTAACTGAATATTTTAATCCGTATTTATATTCTTATTAGATGAGTTGGTAAGTGCGGACTCTTTTTATATATTTAAAGAGTTTAACAAGGAAAAATACTTTTTTTGGTAGGTAAAATCTAATGGAAGTTTATCAGATTGCCACATTTATTTTCTTTTTTTTTTTTTTTAAAAAAAGAAAGTACGGAATAATTATTCATAACTGCCGAAGATAATCTTTTCACACCTTTCTACAAAATTAACAAAATTCAATGTAGATAAAATAATTTTTTGATACTGTATAGAATAAATCCTTGTGGAAGTTTAATTTGGTGAGTTAATTTAATCTGTTTGTGCTGAAGTTCTTATGAATCATTAATAGCTCCATATGTCTGTTATTTATGGAGTTTACTAAGGAAAGAGTGTATTCTCTGTAGGATTACATAAGGTAAAATAGCTTACTTCTTTCAGATGTAGTTATGTTGTTTTGTCTTTTAAATGGTGTAATGTTTAAAAATAATTTTTGTTCGAGTTCGAAAAAGTTCTATCGTTTATATTGATACTATTATGGGTGGGGTTGCTAACCTCTTTGGTAGTTTGATGTAACTTCGCTGTAAATTTCTCTTGATGGATTATATAATAAGAATATACTTTGAAGAAGTTTTAATAGTATTTAAATATAACATATACAAATTTAGATAATCTTTATATAACTTATACTATGATAAAACAGTTTTAATTTCCAAGAAGTCTTTATTTATTGCTTCATTTAAAATCTCTAATTTATCCAAAAAATAATCTTTTGGCTTCAAATTTTCAGTAAATTCTGCTGTTTCATTTAAAACAAATTTTTTTTTTTTCTGTATTAATAATCAAAATAAACATAATTTTTGATTTCTGTTTCTCTTCCTACTATGTGATTGGAAAAAGTTATCTTAATTATTTATTGTTTGGATTAATTAAACAGATGTATTTTTTTATAAAAGCTTTCATAAAGTTTATTTAATAATGGTGTGCTTTAATATCCTTGATATGAACACATTATTTTTTGAAATTTATTTAAAGACTAGAATAATGTGCTTGTTATACTGTACTTTGATCTGAAAATTATCCATTTTGTTGATGATTATAATCCTGCTAAAATAATGTTTTTAGCAGGAAAGATATTAATCTTTCTTCATTTTCTTTGTTTGGCTCTGTCTTCTGCCCCTTTCTTTCTAAGTTTGGTTTGGTTTCTTCTATTTGATGTCTTTCATCTTGTAAAAAATACATTAAGAGAACATCTTCACATTCTTCATCATCCTGTGGTTCTTTAAATCTGAAAATATCTGTGTAATGGTGAGCCAGATTTTGCTTTATTAATGCTTTGAATAGCTTTAATTTTTATCAGGAATTTGGATGGAATTGCATAAATTCCAAAATTCCTTAAGACCAATTCCTGAGATATAAGAAAATGCATATAACCTGCAGGTTATCTGTGTTTGAAAGGTGTTGATGGATATGTAATAGGATGGCTTATATACCAACATTTAGTTGCAATTGTTACTCCCATAGATTTAGGTAAGATATAAGGTGGTGGGTAATGCAAAGGCTTCTTATTTTTATTATAGCAATTTTATGCATGTTGTAAGCTGCTGTAAGTTATATGGTATAAATGAAGTCATTGTGTAAGTTCTTTTCCCATGTTTTGAAAGATTAAGGTAAGAAAGTTTGCTATGAGTTTGATCTGAAACATCAATAAAAAGGTGAAGAAACATTTTAAAGTGATATAACAGTTATTTTTGAATATAAATATGAATCTAAAGAAATCCAAATCTTTGTGTTTGTTAAGAATGAAAAATTAAATATAATTCAATATTTTA